GATCTGGGAGATGCTTGCAAACTTTAAATAAAAACTTCCAAAGAAAATGGCAAGCTAGTAGTTAGCTAAAATAAAAACTAAGGAAGGTAGTGTCACAAAGACATGATGAAAAGCTTTTCAAGAAGGAAAGGTTGCTCCTTTCACTGCATAAAAAATAGTAGATTAAATCCAGAAGAAAAAAAATTACATATACACACACATAACATAATATATATGCACTTATAATATGACATCTTCTTTCAAGACCTTTAGAAATACATAACAGTGAAATGGGAGGACATATACTTGAAGAGAAACATCAAAGATGTAAAGTAAACCCTTATATCTCTAATATTCTGAGATTCTTTTCTCTCCAAATTGTCTTTATTTTGAATCTAATATCAACAAAAATGAGTATTTCAATACATAAACAACAACAACAAAAAAAGAGGATTGCATGTAGACAACTATTACGTACAATGTGTTTAAATGTAAACTGCAAAGAAGATATGACCTTCATGGTTAGAGGAAATTCCATTTACCAATGAAATCAAAAGTCCTATCTTTAGCCCTATTCTATTAAAGTTAACACAGAAGCGTGATACTATCCTGCTGATCTGTGTTCTCGTTCTGAACTTCCTTCTCTTTTCTGTGTATTTTCAAAAGCGTTTCACTGATGCCAATTTATTTTCTTTCTGAATCTCTAACACTGTCATCTTCTCTTTTCCCCTCCCCTCCAACAGAATAAAAGCTCTCTTACAACAAATAAGGAAAATCAGGTAAAATAAATTCATACAAATGCATTCCAAAAATATATGTCACATTGAACTTATCAGAAGGTGCAGACAGACCATCACCTCTCAAGAGTATTAACCTTGACTAGTCTCCAGGATTCTGGAGTTGTGTGTATTCCATGATTTCCTCTACTTTAAAGTTGCTGCAACATAAAATTTTGTATAATCCAGACCCTAGGTACTTGAACTTTTTATATTTCTGCTTGCAGTATTTTCCTTGGACTTGAACACCTGGATTTCAGCTAAAGCATTCCTGGGTATTTTCAATTTAGAGTTTCTTTCAGGAGGCAACTAGTAGGTTCTAATAGATATGGGCTATTTTCTTCTATAATTTCTTGGATACAGTACTCAAGTTTTTTGTTTGGTCATGGTTTTCAGGAACTCTGGTGATTCTTAATTTATTTCTACTAGATCTGTTTTGTAAGTCAGTTTAAAAAAATAGATACCTTATGTTTTTTCTAATATTTCAATCTTCTGACTTCATTCTAACATTTCTTATCTCATATTCTATTTTCTCCCTTCTGTTTTTCAGGAAGTCCATTACTTAGGTAAGGAATTCCACCTTCTGTTCCAAATTATTTCTTTTCCTTGCATTTCATTATGAATTTCTTAAAATCACCGTTGGGAGTCCTTGTAGCTAAGCCATTCTTTTCTCCAGAGGCTCTACTTGTACTTGTGGAATTATGCTCTTCTTCTAAGTTTACTTCTTGAGCTTCTCTTAACCTACACAATGTCTTCAATGTATCCTGTGCTTTCTTCTGTTTATTTGTATCTCCAGTCTCTAATTCTGAACTGGAACTATGTGCTACATAACCTGGTAGTGTCCACTCCTATACTCTTCAACATAATAGGCAGATCGTGTTTGGCCATATCTCTACTGTCTAGATGCCACTGCAATTCTGAATGGAGTGGCTGGCACTAGGTTACACACCCTCCCTGCCTCAGTCTCCTTGTAGCCTTAGCCCACATCTTCCTTCTTCTGCTTGCACAATCCCCAACCGGAAATTGTCTGTGGCTCCTGTTGAGGTTCCAATAGAGTACAATTGGATGGAAGCACAGAGTTCTGGCCACCAACAACTTACTTTTGTTTCTCTTTGGTCTATGTGGAAGCTCTATGACCTCTTATTTTACAACCTTAAAAGGAAGTTCTCATTTTCACTTTGCCCTTTAGTTTTAATAGATATGGGCTATTTTCTTCTATGACATCTTGGAATATAGCATTCAAGTTTTTTGTTTGGTCAAGGTTTTTAGGAACTCTGATAATTTTTTTTCCCTTTTCTTTTCAGTTCTAAATTCTTTCCTTCCTTGTACCCTCTTCCCCACTCACTGAGAAGGGGAAAAAATGTGATAGCCATTATATATACGAGAAGTAATGCAAAAGATATTTCCACATTAACCAAGCTGTAGAAAAAAATGCTTCAATCTGCAACTCAGAGAACTTTGGTGATTCTTAATTTGTTTCTCTTAGATCTGTGCTGTAGGTCAGTTTTAAAAAACAAAAACAAAAACAAACAAACAAACCCAGTAGATCGTGGTAACTAGGTGGCACAGTGAATAGAGCACCAGCCCTGGAGTCAGGAAGACCTGAGTTCAAATCCAGTTTCAGACCAGACACTTGACACTTACAAGCTGTGTGACGCTGGGCAATTATGTGACCCCAACTGTCTCGCAGAAAACCCAAAAAAGCAAACAAACAAAAAACAGTAGATCCCTTGTATTTTTTTCCTAATATTTCAATCTTCTGACTTCATTCTAATATTTCTTATTTCATAATCTATTTGCTACCTTCTTTCAGGGGGTCCATTACTTGTGTAATCATTCTAACATTCTAATAGGTACTGACAATAATAATACTGGTGAGGATCACATACAGAGATGACTGATGATGTTAACTTCAGGGCAGTAGGTCATGTATTAAAATGTTCTTCTAATAGTGATTTATGTATGGTCTACCCCATCTTATCCTTAATCACCATCACTATTTGTGAGAAACCTGGTTAAGATTAACGGAGTCAAGTTTAAAGCTGTACAAAACTTTTTTCCATGAAAAGTTAATTGAACTCATTTAAAGATAGAATTCATAAACTTGTTAGTTGTGACAATTAAACTAATCTGTAAGTGCCATGATATTTTATGTTAATAATGTTGGCAAGACAAGCTTTCTGGCCGAGTGGATAGAGAACTGTCCTTGAATTCAAGGAGGCCTGAGTACAAATCTTTTCTCCAATACATAGTAGGTATGTTACAGTGGGCAGGTCATGTGTCTTGTCAGAGTCCCAAGGAGGGACTCTTTAAGGATCCAGGTTACAGAACAGTTGCAATATGCACAGGTAGAGGGAATTTCTTCACTGGGAACTCCCTATACCAACAAAACCACAGGTTCAGACAAAATTATAAAAAAAATTTTTTTTGAACAGTTTATTCATTTAAAAGACCCTATAGATTATGATTCACCGTACTTCACCAATATAATAAACAGTGAACTTTTCATGATAGTGGAAGGAAGTAGGGGTATGGATAATACAAAAGTAATTTAGACTGTTTAAGAATACAAATTTTAACTAACATTTAATTATAAACTTGGCACATATTTTGGAAAATCAGAACACTTCAAAAAACAAATGGTCAAAATTTAACCAGAGCTGCTCCTCTTACTGGAATTTATTTCTTCATTGCTCCACAATGCTAAAGTGAGTTGCTTTGTATTTGCTTTAAATTTGCGTTCCACATCTTTCCAGGAATAGATATAAATTTTTTTCCCCAAAATTTTCCTGTTGGTATATTAATATAATGTAATGTAATTACTATGCTAACAAATATTAAGAATTCAGAAAAAAAAACAAGATTTGTATGAAGTGATAGACAGAAGAAGGCAGAGCCCCCAAAATGCTACACAAAACAACTACAACTACCATATAAAGACATTAAAAGCCAACAAAACCCTGGTCAAATACAAAGGTCAATGTTAGTACCATACAATCAAAGTTAAAGGACATAGCCCTCCTTTCCATTAACAATCAATAAACTAATTTTTCCCAGGACCACTCTTTCCAAAGTCAGTTGTTTAAAAGCTCAAAACATAATTTCCCAAAGGTTTTAAGTGTAGGGTTGGTTTTCAAGATGGATAAAAAATGTCTTTTTAAAAGCTTTATCAAGAAACTAAAATACCACACATTTGTAACAGGAAAATATAATATTGTGATATTATTCATTAAATTAAAGAGAAAAATAATAGAATTGAGTAAGAATTATCTATTTTTAAATTGCTTTCTATGTTGATGATGAGTAAGGAAGACAGGTTTTAATAGCTGAAAAAGACTTGTGGAGGATATAGAAGGTCCTTTTAGGTACTTACAAGGGCTCTGGAGGATAATGGCACAGGTTCTTTAATACTTAATTCATTATTGTATTATTTCAATTCAAAACTCATGGCTTTCCTCTTCTCCATACCAGCATTACTCTCAAGCTTCTCAGCCAGGATATGGGTGTTTTGTTGTTGTTGTTTTTACTCAAATGGAGAGAGAAGAAAAGTGAGGGAGAAAGAGAAGAGAAGGGAAGGAAGAAAAGGAATCAAAGGGTAGATGTAGATATACGAAAAAGTGACTGTCTGAAATGAAATTAACTGAGCTGTAGGTATGAAAGAAAGACCCAACTGTAATGAAAACTCCTTGTGGAGAAAAAAGGGGAGAAGGTAGAGGGTAAGGAAGGAGATTGAATCAAACAATTTCTGGCTCTAGCCACCAGGGGGTATCAATGACCTAAGACACCTTAATATGACTGGGTGGTCTTGAGTAGGAGGAGGAAAGGCTGAGCTCAAATGCCACCCCTTTCAAGAGGCCTTTCCAGTTTCCCCAGTAGGAGTCCCCACCCACAATATGTCAGTTTTCATAATGCATTTAAACTTATGTTAGCATCATCCACTAGTAAAATGTAATTCCTTGAAGATAGGCACTGCCTCCCTTTGAGCACTCCACTAAACAATAAGCACCGTGCCTTGCACATAGTAGGTGCTTAATAAATGCTTTCTGCATGTTGATGATTATGAAAAACCCTTAAATGGGCTGTTTTTAGTTCTGGAAGTACCTGCAAAATCAACAAATGACTATAATTCTAATTATGTAAATAAGAACTTAAAAGACTGTCAAAGGAAAATTCATCCTGCATAATGCACCAAATTTACCAAGTGAATTATTTGCTACCATAAGCCAAATACAGACGTGCACTCACCTTCACCACATTGTCCCCTGATTGCCCATTATTACGTAAGCAATCAAGGCAGATGGCAATTTGTGGGTCACTTCTATGATAGTCCTTATCATCTTGATTTTCATCACCTTCTTCTACTTTGGGTTTGTCAGCTTTCGAAGTTTCGTCTGTACAATTAAAACATACTTTAATTCAAAGTCAGTGATTTTAAATTCTAAGTCACTTAGTTACTAAAATCATCAAAACCAATTTTAGCTTTAATAAAGCTTTCAGGGGAAAAAAAAAACCAAAACTAAATGTCTTTATTTAACCCTTTCAAAATATGCTCTGAATAATTAGCTGCATGAATAAATGTGCTTTTTTCCATTAAACAGCAGATACTGTAAACTTCAAGGAGATATATATGAAAATGTCCCAAATTTTACATCGTTATAAAAACTGGATAATCTGTTCAGCCTTTTGCCTTCACTATTTCTATCAACTGTCCAGTCTCCCATGTTTTAAATCTTGGCACACTTTTGACTCCTTCCTTCTCACATCTCTTATCTATTAGTTTCAAAGTCCTGTTAATTCTATCTTGGTAGTTTCTCTTGCATCTGCCCCCTTTTCTCTATGTCCACTTCCACTACCCTAGAGACTAGGCCCTCATTACCACCTGATTAAATTTTAGCAATATCATCTAAGTATTCTTTATACTTCTTGCACAGCTTCATAATTCTGCTCATGCTAAACCCAAAGCCTCCAAGGATTTAGAGTCAGGAGGGATTTAAGGGTAATCCCCTCAATTTATGAATGAGGCAACTGAGCCCTAGAAATGTTTAGTGGCAGCTCTAAGGAAGCACAGCTGGTTTAGAACCAGGCCCTTTTTACTCCAAATCTAGGGCTTTCTACACTGTACCCTACTGGCTGACTTTCCCATTTCACTCTCTTCTTTGTTGAATTCCAACTCATCCCTTAAAGACCAACTTAAACTCTACTTCCTAGAAGCCTTTTCTGATTCTTCTAGTCAGTAGTCAGAGACAGCTAAGTGATGCCATACTACATGGAACACTGGGCCTAAAGCCTGGAAGACCTTAGTTCAAATCTAGTCTCAGACACTTACTAGCTTTGGTTTCCTCAACTGTAAAATGGAGATAATAGCACCTATCTCCCAGGGTTGTTGTGAGGATGGTGAGAGATGATAATTTTAAAATACTGTGCCTAGCCTATAGAAGGCACTACAAAAATGCTAGACGTTATTATATCGTCGTCATCACTCACTTTCTCATCCCTCAGACCTTACCCAGCACTTTTCATGTACCTCTCATATCCTTATTATGTACTTTATGGACACTAGTTACTTACACATCATAGTTCCATGTGTGAGTTCCATGAGGAGTAAAAGGTATCTTGCCTCAACTTTTGCCTCATCCCATATTTCTGACCGTGTACAATTTACAAATGTTTGATTTGGTGAAAGCTGGTAACCATTCAATACAAAAATATCAGTCAAATGGATTCAGAAAGGTTATTCAGCCAGAGAGGAAGTGTTTAAAGGTTTAATGTCAATGGACAAGAAGCCTCCAGGGATCTCCACTTGCCCAGGGCTGTTTAATGTTTTTATCAATGACATGGATAAAAGCATAGATGCCAAGCCCATCAAATCTGCCACAAAGCTGGGAGGGGAAGCTAACACCCAGGAAGTTGGTATCCAAAAGGCTCTTAACAGGGCTGAATCTTAATAAGATAGAATTTTCAGTAGGGATAAATGTAAAAATCTTACATAAGTAAAAAAAAAAATCAGCTTCAAAAGTACAGGACTCGGGATGCTTGTTTAGAGAGCAGGTGTTCTGAAAAAGATCTGAAGGTTTTGGTAGACTACAACCTTAATGATTCAGCAGAGTAACATGGCAGCCAAAAAAAGCTAATGTCATCCTGGACTGTAATTAGGAGGGGCGACTTCCAGGAGCTGATAATCTCATTGTATTCTAATCTATCAGACTTTACCTGAAGGTTCAAGGGGATAAACTGGAGAGTGTACAGAGAAGAGTAACTAGGCTGGTGACAGGACAGGGAATGTGGAGCTTAGAAAAGAGATGATTGGGGTGGGACATGATAATAATCTTAAAAGTAGGGGAAGGGCTGACTGGTGAAAGAGTGACTAGATTGGTTCTGTTTAGCCTGATGGGCAGGACCAGGAGCAAAGAACAGAAGTTACAGAAAGGCCTGATAATGGAGAAGTTTCCTAACACTTAGAGGAGCTGTCTTGGAAGGGGAATGAAATGCCAATAGAAGATGGCCATTGGTTGGGCATGTTATATTTAAGAATGCCTTCCATAGGGGCAGTGAAGTGGCATAGTAGAGAGAGCACTGGTCCTGGAGTCAGGAGGACCTGAGTTCAAATCTGGCCTCAGACACTTGACACTAGCTGTGTGACCCTGGGCAAGTCACTTATCCCTAGTGCCTAGCTGCCCCCCCCCCCAAATTCCTTCCATAGATGGACTGGACTAGATGGCCTCTGATGGTCCATGAGACTCTCAGATTATGTGATTAATTCAGCAAAAATTACAATCTGATATTTGACACAGAAACTTTAAAATAACACTACTTTTTAAAACTAAACATTCTGATTAATACATATTGATGGAATACTCTATTAAATGAGTAAAAGGAATTCTTGTTAAACATATCCTCATGTTTTTCCTGTGTGTGTTTGTGTGTATATACACATACTATAAATTAGAGAAATTACTTACATTCAATTACTTACAGTTAAACTTCAACTATTACCACATGCAAATCTTAGGAGCCCTGCCTAAATAAAAAGGGACCATATTTCAAGAAGTAATAAGGAAGGAATACTTCAAAATTCTATCTCCCTATTATATTTTACCTCTCAGAAGGTAAATTTTTTTTAAATGATAAAGGTTGTAATTATGTTCACCAAAAAACAGAAAAAGCATAAAGTAATCATATGGTTAATTTCACAAACAAATGTGTGTGCATATATTAAAAAAAGGCACCTTGTCCATTTTCTTGAGGCTTGTTTTTCTTCCAAAATTCTGTCTCACGCTCAAGTTCCTCTAATTAAAAAAAAATTCAACAGATAAAAAATAAATATAGACGTATTAATAGAAACTTATCAATTTTCTAAAACACCAAAATTTTTCCCCCAGACCAAAATGAAATAATAACTTACGTTCTCGTAGTCCAGGAACCAGTTTAAATATAATTTCCTCTAATGTATTGTCCAGTCTTATAAAAAGAAAAAAAAATGAACATAATGAATAAATATACTCTAAAAATCACTGTAATTTTATAAAATTCTTTTATATTTACATATGCACACTGTTTCGGGGTCCAAATCAATGATTTGATTTTCATAGGAAACTCCTAGTACACAAACGCCATATGGACCTCAAGTCAGGAAGATCTGAGTTCAAATCTAGCCTCAGACATTTACTATCTGGTGATCACTGTCAACCTCAGGTTCTTCACTTGTAAGACGGGGATGACAGCACCTAATATGGAGGGAGTCTTTTTGTTTTCTTCGCTCATTCTTCCAGCACTACTTCCCAAACTGACACTTTGATAGCGCCAGGCTTTGCAAAGCACAGGAAGGAATGTCTGGGCTGTTGGATTTCCTCGGTACTGAGTGCTTTGTTCTTAAAGGATCTCAGTACAACTCAGGGTGGGTGTCTGTGGGCTTTCAGTCCACCAAACTGGTCTGCTCTAGGGGCAGTCTACCTGCAGTCCTCTTGGTCTGAGCTTTGCAAGCTCCTGATCTCATTTGGATCTGGGTGACACAACTGTAGGTTGGCCTCAGCCCTGTGAAAGCTAGCTGGAAAGCCAATGAAAGGCTCTCCAAGGCTCCCCCTTGGTCTGAGCTTCCTGCCCTACTCAGGCGCATGAGACAATCCTGGAGACTGAATCCCAGACCTCACTCCAGGCTCAGTCACACAGTTGCTATTCCTGCTTCTTACCCAGTACACAGCAGCCTCAGGCCTACAGTCACTCCCTGCACTCAACTTCCACTTACCCTAGGTATAAATTACCCCTCCTTAGTCTGCAATGGATCCATGACACAGTTCAGTGATGCAAGCAACAGAGCTAGCATCTGGCTCCTGTGTCCGTTTCCTACACAGAGTTAAGTCTCTCCCTTCTCTCTCTAAGACATTTTCTTACCCCTGTGAAGATCTTTAGGCCTCAGTTAAATCCCCATGGCTGGCTAGTTCCTTTTCCCAATGTCCAGAGACTTCTATCTCCCTATGCAGATCTGGAATGGAAAAATGATTCACTGGGACTTCCCCTTGGACTTCCTGATGAAAAGTGGTTCTCTTCTTAGGTCTTTCTTAGAGTAGTTATGGGGAGGAGCGATGGCCTGTATTGCTTCCTCCTACTCTATCATCTTTCTCTCAGGCAATTTACAATCTTAAAAATACAAGTCTATTTAGGATCATTGGATTTTAAAATTGCAAAGGACTTAAGAAAAGATCTAGTCCAGTGGTACTTAATATTTTGGTCACAGGACCCTTCCATACTCTTTTTTTTTTTTTTAAATTAAACAATTTATTCATTCACTTCCATTAAGACTGAGTTTCAAATTTTCTTCCTCTCCCCAAGAAAGCGTGCAATCTGATAAAGACTCTACTTATATGTTTATATTAAGCATATTTTCACATTAGCCATGATGCAAAGAAGAATTAGAACCAATGGGAGGAACCACGAGAAAGAAGAATCAAAACAAAACAACAAAAGAAAAGGAGATCAAATAGCATGCTTCCATCTGCATTCAGACTCCATAGTTCTTTCTCTGGATGTGGACAGCATTTTCCATCATGAGTCTTTTGGAGGTGTCTTAGATCCTTGCATTGCTGAGAAGAGTTAAGTTTATCAAAGTTGGTCATCACACAATGTTGCTACTATTGTGTACAATGTTCTCCTGGTTCTGCTCACTTCACGCAGCATCAGTTCATATTAAGTTTTTCCACGTTTTTCTGAAGTCCGCCTGCTCGTCATTTCTTATAGCACAATAGTATTCCATTACATTCACATACCACAGCTTATTCAGCCATTCCCCAACTGATCGGCATCCAATTCTTTGCCACCACAAAAAGAGCTGCTGTAAATATTTTTGTACATGTGGGTCTTTTTCCCATTTTTATGATCTGTTTGGTATACAGATTTAGGAGTGCTATTGCTGGGTCAAAGGGTATGTATAGTTTTATATCCCTTTGGGCATAGATCCAAATTGCTCTCTGACCCTTTCATACTCTTAAAAACCCATTACAGGTTAATATAAACAACAATGTAATGAAAGCTAATTCTATTTTACAAAACAAAAATAAAATTAGTGAGAAATGTAGCATTGTTTTACTTTTGCAAATCTAGTGTCTGGCTTAATTTCTGTTATTGTTCAGTTATCTTCAGTGTGTCCCCATTTGAAGTTTTCCTGGCAAAGATACTGGAATGGTTTACCATTTCCTTCTCCAGCTCATTTCATAGATGAGGAACTGAGGCAAACAGGGTTAAGTGACTTGCCTAGGCTCACATGGCTAATAAATGTCTGAGGCCAGAGTTGAACTCAGGAAGATGAATCTTTCTGACTCCAGGCCCAGCTCTCTATTCACTGTGCCTCCCAGCTGCCCATAGAAGATAGCTAGATTTCCTCACATTTGCTTCTGCAATCAAACTGCTGAGATATGTAGTTTGGGCTGAAGTTTAAGTATAAGAAGAAAATCCGGCCTCATGAATATATCACTGGAAAAGGGAGAAGTATTTTAAAGGGCAAATAATACTTTAGCATTATTATGAAAATAGTTTTGACCTTGAGGACCCCTAGGCCAAACTTTAAGAACCAAAGATTTAGACGAATCCCTTCCTTTTACAGAAGAGGACGCTGAGACCAAGAAAAGTACAGGGGCATGTCCAAGGACACAGCTAGAAAATGGCAGAACTGGAATTTGAATCCCAAGGTCTCTGGGGCTGTAAAACTTATGCTCTTGGAACTCAAAAATGTTTTCTCTACTGCCAAAACACTTAATTACAAATTACTAATTGTAAAAAGTAATTAAGTTACAGGGTTTTTTTTTTTCTAAACTAAGAGAACTCTCAACTAAAATATATCACAAAGTAATTCAAAGTTATTTTTAGGACTAATGCTCCTCTAACTTACAGTAATTGAGACTCCTGGCTAGGGAGAATTCTCATCTCTTCCTAGCTGCTAAACGCTGGCAATCGGCTAATGGTAAAGATTTTAAAGACCATTTTGCTACATCATTAACAAATCCCAGATGACAGCAGCTATCAGTTAACTGACTATATCTTTGAGTTGGAACAGAATGATTAACACAGACACAAACTAATTTGCTAATTGTTATTAGATTTATAAAGTCTGCTTAGGCAGACATTATAAAATGCTAAGAAAAAACATAATGCTACAGCATTATATATCCCCTGTTCAAGGATATTGTAGCATATCATATCAACTTTAGCTGAAAGTATCAATTGGTTCAAGAGGTGAAAATAATAATTTTTAAATTACTGGAATTGTTAATATTTTTTTTAAAAAAGCATCCACTATGTAAACTTAGTGACTTACAAGTGCCAGCACAGTTTTAAACAGTAAAAATTACAAAAACAAAAAACCCCCAGACCCACATTTCAACCAAATTCGTAGCATCACTTTAAAGACTGCTAGTTCTATTAAGGAAAATATGAAGTAAACCCATTTCTAATACTGCTTAGTTTCACATTTTATATGTTATGACTTACTTGGAGTATAAAATCTTGTTATTTTCTAATATTATCAATTTTCCCCAAATGCTATCACAAAATTAACTTCTTTCTCTTCTCCCAAATATGATACTTCAGTATCTGCTGTATTCTTAATTTATTAAACCAGCAGCCAACTTTTTTTTCTAGTATAACTTTAATATCATAATGGAATTCAATGAAAAAACTGATTCATTTAACAGAAATTTGCTTTACATAAATGGAACTAAACTCTACTAGAATGCAGTTAATTACATTAACCAAAGGAAACCTTGTATAAATACATCATTACATTGTATAGATTTCTTTTTTAATGTTATATTTAATTTTAGAAGTTATTACTGTTTTGAAAGTAAACTTACCACATAAAAAGCTGATTATGTGCTTATATAAAGTTATAGGTAACATTTAATTGATCACAAATCAAGTACGTTTTTTTACAACTGGAGAGAGGAGAATTTCCATAGTAGAAACATTATTAAGTGTATAAACTTTTTTCATATTTAAAATGTTGTGCTTAGCAAAAGAAGACTGGCCATAGATGACATCAGGGAGGCCACAGAAAACAACTAAGGCATGGAGGAATTATCTGCATGAGTGGAAAGACAGCCCATGCTAACAAAATCACAGATCTTTCTAAAGTATTGAAGGTAAAATATAAATATTAGAATTCTAATTTCTGCTCATACCCTTTGAAGTAGACTAAGCCAGATTAGTGATAACAAGGAAGGAATGAGTGCACTGCTCCGAAGAAACTGTCACTAAGGTGACAAAAGTACTTAAACCCCATTTATTTCACCATCCTTTGGTGAAGTCTGTAGCTCAAGCATTCATATTGTCATATTACAGATGAGTAAAACAAGGGCTCGAGGAACAGTGGGGAGTGGCTAGGGAACTGGCCTCACAATCAGGAAGATCTGCAGTAGAGGTTGGGTGATAAGGAGCAAGTCATTTAACCTCTTACTGTCCCAGCCAACTCTCCCAGATCAGATACTGACCTGGATTAAGAGAAGGAAAGTAATGGACTTTTAAGCTCCTACAGTACGTGAGGTGCTGTGCTAAGCACTTCATAAATATTAATAATAATACAGGCTGATATTTATATAGCTCCTACTATGTGCCAGCACTGTTAAGTGTTTTACAAGTATTATCCCATTTGAGAGGGGCAGCTAGGTGCAGCAGGTAGAAAAGTGCCCAGGCTGGATTCTAGAAGATTTGAGTTCAAATATGGCCTCACATACTTAATTAGCTGTGTGACCTTTGCAAGTCACTTAACCCTGTTTGCCTCAGTTTCCTCATCTGTAAAATGACCTGGAAAAGGAAATGACAAACCACTACATTATCTTTGCCAAGAAAACCCCAAATAGGGTCACAAAGAGTCAGACTTTGTTGAAAAAAAGACTGAAAAAAAAATGCTGTTTAATTCTCGCAACAATATTAATTGTTGAACAGTAATAACTTCTAAATTGTGCCTCTGGGAG